CATTTATAGTGCTTTCTAATTTAACTGTTTATTTCTTGTATTATATATTTATCTGTATATGATTTAACAGTTCATTTCTCGTTATATATCTAATTATCTTTATAAATAAATATATTATATTATTAGGAATTTGGTTTTATCTCTCTAGAGAACCCTGTCTAACACATTTGATTTCAAAAGAAAATCACAACATAAGTGAAATTGAGAAGCTCTTGTTTTTTGTGTGTCTCTGAGCAGTGGGGACAATGGAGATTTCCTTATTGATAAACAGCCTTTGCTGTCTTCTCTTCCTGTCACCCTTGCTCCCAAAGTGCATACTCCTTCCACGTCACTGCAGATGGTCAGATGCAACCTGTCCCCTTCCCCCCCGACGCCCTCATTGGCCCTGGCATCCCCCGGCACGCTCGCCAGATCAACACCCTGAACCATGGGGAGGTGGTGTGTGCCGTGACCATCAGCAACCCCACGCGGCATGTGTACACGGGCGGCAAGGGCTGCGTCAAGGTCTGGGACATCAGCCAGCCTGGCAACAAGAGTCCTGTCTCTCAGCTCGACTGCCTGGTAAGTGAACAGGAACTGGTGACAAGGGTAATGTCTCCCAGGAGCCGCAATAAGGAAAGAGCTGTCCGGGCCTGTGTCTTATTCCTATTATGAGGAAATGGAAGTCCGTTCTGTTTCCTGTGTTAGCTGTTTTGTTCTCCCCCCCTACAGCCTGGAATGTGAAGATTTCATTTGTTGCTATTTCACTGGTTAAATCTCAAGGGTTGAAGGGTTTTTCCTTTCTCTCCCTCTACCCCTCTCTCACTCTTTTTAAGAAAAGCATTTTACCATAGTTTATAGAAACTCTCCTTGTTTGGATGTGTATTTGTATTATAAAAGGGGTTGGAAGCACAAGCTCAGCTTGGACTCTGACCTCTGAAATCCGCTCAATGTTAATCTCCCCACAGCCTTGAGATGAATATGGAATAGTAAACATTGGGCAAAGTGGTGTAAAAACCATCGGAGCAGGGTCCAGGCTTTGAGACAGGCCTAGAAGAGTTGCTTCAGTTTCAGAGATCCTGATTTTAGAAATGGGTTTAGTTTAATAGGTCGTATTGCAAAGAAATGGTGGGAGTTCTCAATCAAATAGGCATGGTGAGAACTCTTTCCAAGGCAACTAACCCACCCCTCTCAGCGTACGAGAATAAGCTTTGCATATCTCCAGGACACAGAACATGCCAGGATGTGCTTTAAACTCTAGGTTATAGTCCCTGGACTTACACGCTGGGTACCATTTGCCTTAGGTCAGCTGGAGGCCACCTGTCTTGCTCCTGGTGTAGCGTCTGCTTACACTCTGCTTCCACAGTCACTTAGCTTGCCCACTGCCTGCCCAGAGAATTGTTAGGGTTCCAGAAAGTATTTCCAGACAGGAGCGTGGCAATACTTTTCAGATTCAGAGAGCTTTTGAGAAGTTTTTAGTTTAATTTTAAGTCACATCATTTAGAAGCTTCGTTTAACTTGGAACTTAAACACAAGCCACAATTACAAAGTGTTTCAGTGCCACTGAGTCAGCTCCGACTCATACTGACCCCTGCGCACAACAGGGCAAAGCACTGCCAGGTCCTGCACTGACTCCAGAAGTGTGTTAATCATGTTTGAGCTCGTTATTTGTAGTTTTTCTTTCTAAAATCATTTTCTTGGGAGCTCATACAGCTCTTATCTCAATACATCCATCCACCCATTGTGTCAAGCACATTTGTACATTTGTTGCCATCGTCATCATTCTCAAAACATTTTCTTTGCCCCTGAACCCTTCCCCCCAGCTCCCTTCCTCACGAACCCTTGATAATTTATAAATGTCTTTACCCGCTTTCTGGTTATCCGACCCCCCAGGGAGGGGGTTATATGTATTGAGTTTGTTATTGTAGCCGCTGTGTGAGTTCATCTTGTCGAAGGTCTTCCTCTTTTTCTCGGACCTTTTAATTTACCAAGCATGATATCCAGGTCCAGGGTCTAGTCTCTCCTAATAACGCGTCCAACGTATGTGAGACACGGAGTCTGGTGGTGGGTCATTAACTGTGCTGAGGTGTTTGACATTCTTCTGCTCTTTAAAAGATATGCCATTATGAAGGTATATGAAAAACTTCAGCTGTTAGCTACTTGAGTTCGAACTAAAGGATGGGAATTACTGCTTTGGGGGCAGGGGAGGTCATTTTAGGGTCCTTCTATATCTTTATTAGTTTGTTTTTTTAAAGTTTCAAAAGAATGTGTGTTTTTGATAGTGCATATGCCATTTTCATCAGCTGCCTGTCTTGGCCTATAGATTGAGAAGTATGGCAGCTGCCTTATTAGAACATGAGAATACAGCGCTGCTGATTCTCCGAAGAAGACCCGTGTGAGTTACGAAGACACACGCGGTCCGAGCATTCAGTAGAGTGCTCAGAGCAGTCAAAGCCATATGTAAGAGAGTGGATGCACAGCTTCCACAGAGGTCACGACGGATGATGGCAAGGTGGAAGATTTACAAACTGGCTTTGAAAAGTGGTTTCTTCCTAAAGAATTAGGCCCGTACCTACTGGTGATCCTAGTACTGTCTCTTAAGCAGGAACTTGGACATCAGGCTTTTGGGCATGCCTCCATGACCCTGTGTTTCTTAGCACGTGAATACACTAAAGGAGCCCCTTACTGAGTCCAGAACTCTTCCCTTGTTAGAGAAGGTCTGTGGAAAGCAGGACTTCACATCAACAACCCAGACAGCAGCCCGAGAATCCGCCTTCTCGAATGCTTGGTGATGCATGCTAGTAATTGAATTATGTCTCTTTCACAGAATAGAGATAATTACATCCGCTCCTGTAAATTGCTCCCTGATGGCTGCACCCTAATTGTGGGAGGGGAAGCCAGTACTCTTTCCATTTGGGACCTGGCGGCTCCGACTCCCCGCATCAAGGCCGAGTTGACGTCCTCGGCTCCTGCCTGCTACGCCCTGGCCATCAGCCCCGACTCCAAGGTCTGCTTCTCATGTTGCAGTGACGGCAACATCGCCGTGTGGGACCTGCACAACCAGACGCTGGTGAGGTGAGCAAAGAGCTTCCTCGGGGCAAGAGGACGCGTGTTTGAGTGTGATGCTGGCCCATTTCTGCTTCTCTCTTGGACCGTTCCCAGAATCTCTGCTAACACTTTAAGGACGCATGTTTGAGTGTGATGCTGGCCCATTTCTGCTTCTCTCTTGGACCGTTCCCAGAATCTCTGCTAACACTTTAAGAACTAGGCTCAGACCTAAGTCCTGCAGTGGGGCATGTGTGAGAGCTCATGTGTGAACAAAGGCCAAACCTCATCTCTCTGCTTGAGGGGTGGTTGGTCTTTGCTCTGTCATGGATTAAAGCTGTGTGGTTCTGTAAGAGTGCCACCAAGAGCCCCTTTCCTCCTTCATGGGATTCACATGCTTGGCTGCTAACCAAAAGTTGGAGGTTCAAGCTCCTCAGAAGAAAGTCCAAGCAATTTGCTCCTGAGCAGGGAGCCATTAACAACCTCCTGAGCTCGATTCTACTCTGACACACATGGAGTCAGTCCCCACGAGTCGGGATCAGCTCTACAGCAGCTGACTACATGCCCATTTTTCAGTTGATTTACAGAGTCTGCTAAACTTGTATTATCCCTTGCCAAGGGATGGTGTAACCTGGATTGCAGGGTATTATGAAAGAAAGGTCCTCAATACTAGATGCCTTTGACTTTGGCAAGAACCTTGTATATACAAACACTGATAAAGGATAACAAAGTCAACAAAAGGATGTTTAAAGAGGAGATTCTTCCAATTTCAACCACAAATGATTTTCAAGTATTCGTGTTTCTCAGTAACTAAATTCAAGCTGACCAGGGCCCATGGCACCCATGAGTGAGCAGGGTTCTGCTTGTCTTCCTGGAATGATTCTCCTCACCTTGGTCCTTCATGGAACTAAGGGGACCTGTCAGCAGTGAGCTGTGTCGGATGGAGGTAATGACGCACAGAAGCTGTGGGGAAGAAGAGTCAGAGTGCATCCAGAGAGGAGAATGGGATGGACTCCTGAGGTGTGCACGTTCAAGTAGCTTGAGGAGGAAGGACCTTTGAAGTGAAGCTGGCTTGTTGTTTCAGAATTCTTAGTAACAGTGGTGTTTTTTCTTTTCTCTTAACCAGTTGCTGTTGAATTACTGACTTGTGGGGGCCCTGGTCAGAGTAGAGCAGTGCTCTGTTGGGTTTTCAATGGCTGATGTTTTGGAAGTAGTTTTTCATACTTTTCTTCCAAGGCCCCTGTGCATAGACTTGAACTACTAACCTTTGGGTTAACAGCCAAATGTCTTAACTGTTTGTATCACCCAGAGACTCCTTTCTTTCCTAATACTCTTTAAAATTCCAAGCTCAGCTTAATTGTTTGTAGTTCATTGGGAGGTAAGAGCAATAAAAAGCCATCATCTCAGTGTTGACTGAATGAGTCCTGGATGGTTCACCTCTGTGACCAGGCTCTGGTGGGTGGGGCCCAGTCATCTTTTCCTTTGCTCTCTTTTCCTGCCAGCTCCCTTGCAGCATATAAAACGGGATCCTAAAGGACTCGCACATGCTTATAGGGTTGTTAGTGCCTGTGCCCATGTGCCCAACACATTTCTGCTTGAGGTTTTTGAATGAAGCAGGAGGTTCCCCCCTTAACAACCTTATGCTCAGCTTCAAGCAGGGTCTTGCCAAAGTGCCACAGGGTTTCCTCAGCAATTAGCTTTGCCTCTTGCTCAACACCCCTGTGGGCAGGAGGCTGGGATGACCCTTATCTCTGTGAGTTCAGGTTTTCTAATATAGGGCTGTTTAATAGAGCCTAGCAGGTTGAGGAAACACGTGAACTCATGTGCTGTTGGTGCCAAACGCAGCTTTTGTTGAATCCCTTGCAGCACAGGGAGAGATGCTCTGTGGTCTCGCGCTTGTGACCCAGCCACTTCTTTCTCACACGTGCAGTGTAGGCTCTTATCTTAATGGAGTACATTTGGGAGTATTGTGTGATTGTTCTTCTCCTCCACCCCACCCCCTTTTCCTTTCAAATACTCTTCTGGCCCTGGGAGGAGTGATCCCTTCTAGATGACGGTGTAAGAAAAGCATTAGAGCATATTTAACTTCTGCTCAGCAACCTAGACTGGCATTCTGTGTCTGCAGCATTTGGATTGGGATTTTTTTTTTAAAAAGCTGCAGGTGCCTGCTTCCTCGCTTCTTCTGGGGAAGGTTAGTTTGACCTTGCACGTTTGCACACACCGAAGAGATGACACGCTGGCACAGAGTCAAAAACTAATGACACAACAGTGTTTCCTTGAGTCCTGGCAGGAAATCATTATTCAATCTGGTTTGTTTTATCAGGCAATTCCAGGGCCACACAGACGGGGCCAGCTGTATTGACATTTCTAACGATGGCACCAAGCTCTGGACGGGCGGTTTGGACAACACGGTCAGGTCCTGGGACCTGCGTGAGGGGCGGCAGCTGCAACAGCACGACTTCACATCCCAGGTGAGTGGCTGACCTCACACCTCGGCCCAGGCTGTGTGAAGTGGTCTGTATGTGTGTCGTCTTTCTCCAGCCCACAGCCCAGCACTGGCTAGACCAACAGGGCGAGGGTTACGTTTAAGATTCTGCTGAAAACAAACGAAATCAGTGCTAAACTCCAAAGCTCTTACTGTGGTTTTCAAAATCCCATTGGCTAACCTGTGCTAGCTGCTTTGTTTATACATGTGTTGGTTAAAGGAATTCATACAGTGAAGAATACATGGGTTTGTTTCAGCAGTGTTTGATCTGTTGTTCGTATTCTCCCCACCTAATGTGGGGATGAGAGATGATGCTTTGATTCACGTACATCTATTGCTTGAAAAATACACTGAGATGTCGCTAGGAGTGGAAAAAAATCAGAACTGCTACGAGTTCGTTTCTGTTGCTTCAGGGCACTTAAAATATGGCGGAAGTCTCAGTGGAAGACCGCTTTATCACTCATCCCTTTCAAAAGGGGATGTGGCTGACTAGAGTCTTAGAGATAAAATGGTAGTAAAGAAATAGCAACTGGATTTTGATTGTAAAGATTCTTTCAATGTTGAGTATCTTAAATCCAGGGTTGTTTTTTGAAAAGCAGTGCTTACTATTAAAAGTAGTTGTTGATGGTAGAATTGTGTGGGTTTTTTTAAAAACCATTTCTTGCAAATATATATTTATATGTGTGTGCATGCACACACATACATACATTTTTAAAATTAATTTTCATTTATATTTATATAGGGGAAAGTAGAAAACAACTAATACACAACTTAAATCTATATCCTTGTTTGGGTTTCCTCATAGTTTAACCTGTTTCTTTTCTAACTTACATAGGATATACTATTTTTTTTTTACCTTTATTTTTTTTAACTTGTTACGGAAATGTTGAAACAGACTTCAAAGCACAGAGCATACTATACTAAAATCCACGTGCCCATCCTCTGGCTTTAATTCCAATCAGTACTTGAGTAACCTTTTCATCTGCCTTTGCCCATGGCTCCCCGACAGGGGATTATTTAAAGTAAATCCAAAGACAAGGTCATTACATCCATAAATAAGAGCTGTCCAATGCTTCCACTCCTCAATTAGCAACAGAACGGTAAACCGAGAAAAGATTCAAGTTGCCAAAGATTTAATTTTACTTGGATCCACTATCAACCCTCATGGATGCAACAGTCAAGTCATCCAATGAAATATTGCATTGGGTAAATAAATCTACTGAACATGACTCCTTTAAAATGTTCAAGAACAGGGATGCAACTTTGGGGAATGAGGTGCACCTGATCCAAGCCATGTGAAAGTTGGACAACGAATATGAAAGACCAGGGAAGAATGGATGCATTTGAATTAAGTTGATGTTGAAGAATATTGAATTTATCATGTCCTGCCAGAAGAAGAAATAAATTTGTTTTGGATGAGCAGGAGCAGAATGCTCCTTAGAAATTAGGGTGGTGAGACTTTGTCTCATACGTTGGACATATCCAGAAACCAGTCCCCAGGCAAAAACTGCACGTTGGTGGAGAAAAGGGAGACTCAATGAGTGGCTTCGGCAATGGGCTCCAACATCACCGTTGTCAAGGGGGCACAGGGCCCGGCAGGAGGGTGTTCTGTTGTACTAAGGGTCACCGTGAGTCGGAAACAACTGGAAGGCACTGAACAGCTATAACATCTCTCTCCCACACAAAGAACATGTATTATAAGCCTTCTGTTTTTTCCCTGTTATTTCGTAGAGGTTGTTTTCCATGACGTGTGTCTGAGCTGAGTGGCTTGATGTATGGAGCTTCCTGTGGTCTAGATTTTGCTGATGGCGTCTTCCCATTGGTGATAGTTTTATTGTCTTACACCTGTGGTTACTGGGCAGAATAACTAGCGAGCCTGTTCTCCACCTATAGATCTTCTCGCTTGGATACTGCCCCACTGGAGAGTGGCTCGCCGTGGGCATGGAGAGCAGCAACGTGGAGGTTCTCCACGTCAATAAGCCCGACAAGTATCAGTTGCACCTCCATGAGAGCTGTGTGCTGTCCTTAAAGTTTGCTTATTGTGGTGAGTTTGCTAAGGTGGGAACTTTCCTCCAGATAGGATCTCCACCATAGTTTTTTAAGAGGTATTTTCCATGTCGGCCCTGAGTGTCTTCCAGTTCCCGCCTTAGAACAGCCGGGTGTGATCGTGTTCTTGTCGTAAAAAGCCCCTCAGTAATATCTGTTTCAGTCAGTTTGACTGATTTGAGGAAAGTTTGACAGGCTATGAAATGGCCTTATATGAACGTTTGACTAATACTTGGTTTCAGTGGGACCGCCTGACTGTGGGAGTGTAATTAGATCCCATCCTGAGACGAGAATGGTGGGAATTGATAGGAGCATGGAGGCAGGCATGGGAGAGATCTTTGCGGACTGACCAGGAAGAGGCATCTTTAGCTGCACCCGGATGCTTAGACTCTGCAGACGGTAAAGAGAATGAAAGTCCATGCTGACACTTCTTGTGCACTGCAAGTAGTTAAATACTTGTTTTCAGAGTAGATGGATCCTGTTTTTTGTTTTAAATTAACATCGAGTTGATTCTGATTCATGTCCCCCACCCCCACCCCACTCCTTCCAATCTGTGTCAGAGTAGAACTTTGTTTATGGGATTTTTCAATGACTGACATTTTGGGGTTGGATTCCAGGCCTTTCTTTGGAGGTATCTGGAATTGTGGGTTGCTTCAGATTTCAGGGCAGCATTGGACCAGGGATTCCCTCAGCTGGATGTGTAGCTAGCTGTCTCTTACTGAGCATCCATTGTGTACCATATAGTGTATCTGGTATTTGACTTACATTCGTTATTGGGGGGCTTACTGGCCTCATTTTGAGGAGATGGACTATAGAAGAGCAACTTCACTGCTTTTTCCATATGGAGGTGTGATGTATGTGCAGGGAACCCAATGGCTAACAGGGCTTCCCTGAGTGCCCTTCTTGGATTATGCTTCAGGTAACAGAGTTGCTTCTTAACGGCGCTCAGCATGGGCTCTTTCTTTACTCATGTCATAGACTAACCCTTTTGGAATGCTAAAAACAATTGCTGTTGAATTGATTCTCACTCAAGGTGATTCCACAAGAGTTTTCATATGTTCATAGTTTTCACTGACTGCTTTTTCAGAAGTAGAGTGCTAGACTTTTCCTCTAAGGTGCCACTGGGTGGACACAAACCTCCAACTTTTTTGGTTAACCTTTTGTACCACCCAGTGACTTCTTAGCAATGAGCAGAGATTGCTTATGGCTGTGCTTATGGTATCATAGGGAGTTTTAACCTTGCTGAAACTACATGTCCCTTTGCTAATTCTAGGTAAATGGTTTGTGAGTACTGGAAAAGATAACCTCCTCAATGCCTGGCGGACGCCCTATGGAGCGAGTATATTCCAGGTCGGTATTGGTTCCTTACCTACAATGACACTTCAACCATGTGCACCTGATGCTACCAGAAGTGAAGAATCCTTGGAGGGAGCAGGGTCCTTGTGTATCTCAGCTCTGCCTTAACACATGCCCTCTGTTTTCTCTTTCAGTCCAAAGAGTCCTCCTCCGTGCTCAGCTGTGACATCTCTGTGGATGACAAATACATAGTCACTGGCTCAGGGGACAAGAAGGCCACAGTCTATGAAGTCATCTACTGAAAACATAATGTGGTTTACCGTTTATAGTTGAAGTGGGCCAAAATGTTTTGAATTTTTAGAAATAGAAACCTTGTAACTTTGAAAGGAAAAAGAAAACCTATTTCCAAGTTTTGACACAAAACTTCTACAAAGAGGAGGCAGCAAATCCCATCTACAGAAGGTCACTTATCTACCTAGACCAAATGGAGCACCAAGGCAAGAGTGGACAGAGGGGCCAAGGATGGTAGGACTCAGGAACAGAATCTGATGGCCATGCTAGAGCCTGTTCTTTCCTTTCTGTGTGGTCTCCTGCCAATCTCACGTTGCCTGAGTGTGAGATTACCAGTCTGTTCCTTGCGGTGCACCTCACGTGTCACCCTTTCTAGAGCAGTGGTCTCTCCAGTGAACTTGTTTCCTGGTTTTGCATCTTGTGAAATGTTTTTTTTTTTTTGTATTTTTGTTGAAGGTTAAACATTTGTATAAATTGTAAATATATTTGGTTTACTACAGTAAAGGCTTTAGTACCAATAAGTGGTTTTCTTTTTTTTTTTTTCTTTATTGTTTTGTATGGAAGCTCTGGCATTACTGGTGTGGGTTCTATAAGCAAAATTCAAACCGTTATAGAGGACGTTTTAAAGTACACTTCTTATTTTATTAACATATTCGGACATGGACACTCCCCCTCGTAGCGCTAGAAGCAAGCCCACTGAGCACATTTTGGTTACTGGAAAGTCAACGCTAGAAAGTGTGATTAATTGAAGATGTATTATTAGCAGCTTTATTGGAGAAGCTAAAATTATTTCACTAAGATTCATTCTTTAATTAACGATGCTCTTGTGACTCAAGGTCACAAATTCAAGCTCTACTTTTTCCTGGTGATTCATCGGAAGACAAAATAGTATTTTCTCTAGGAATGCTTGGTCCTTTCAAACCCATGGTCCCTTTCCCTCTAACCTTCACATTTCGTGAAATTTAGGCGTTGTGTTAAGGTTTGTGATGCACACAGGACAGAAGGATTCATGCACCTGTAAAAGAAAAAGGCAAGAGTTGTCTGGTTGTGGCTTTCTTAATACTGGTATGATCCATTATATTAGTGTACGTAAGCCAGCCATGCACTTGGTCCATTCTCCTCATTAAGCTTTCCTTGCAGCTGCAGCCATTGCTCCCTCTCATTTGTTGTTGGTGTTTATCATTGAAGACAAATTCTTACTGATTTGGTTAGATGAGGTCTGTAACCTTAGACTTTTAATAGGCTACATAACTCACTCTTTCTATACCTGTCATATACTGTTACATTTCAGGAAGTAATTATTGGTAATTTCAAGTCAAGTTTCCTGCCTATTTAAAAATAGTACTTAAGGAATTTCTAATGTTCTTATTTTCTTAGAATCCGGCGAGTTGTTGGCAGTTTGTCTTAATATTTTTCATTTGTTTTCCAGATCTTTTAAAAATACATTTACAACATTACTTTGCTTTTTGTCAAGAAAATATTTGTTTATGTATAGAGTTTGTTAAACATTGTCATTTCTCATTAAGTGAGTGGCAAACCCCTAATTAGTAATTTCTCTCTCATCCCTCTCTCGTATAATGAAGTAGGTTTCTGTACTGTAGATTGGTGGTTTATTAATAGTGTGTGCTTTTTTTTTGTTTATTCTCCTCTCCTACTCTATTTTCCTCTCTCTTGTACTAGCTTGGTAGCGGTTAAATTTGGTCAAAGTTAAATGATAAGAGACCTCAATTTAAGTTCACCCAGCCCAAAGGCTTCTCAGAAGATAGTTCTGGTAATCTAGTAGTCCTGTAGAAAACAACCATTCCACACTCCATAGTGCAGAGTTCTACTCTGAAAAAGAGTCCCAAGAGTGAGCATTTTATACAGTACAGTGGCTTAAGACGAGGTTGGTTTCTCTTCCAGCAGTACAGCTCTGTGCTTCCATGTTGCTCCAGTTACCTCTACTTCTCGTCAGTCAGGAGCAGTGTGGAAGGCCAGGGATCAGGTCAGCTGTGCTTTTAAGCAAAGGAGTTGGAATTTGTTTCATCACTTCCACTACCTCTTCAGCATAGACTTAGGAATCTGAGATAAAGGAGACTATGAAATGTGGTTTCTTGCTGACAGACATCTGCCCATCACAGAGAAGCTCCCCTGGAAGAACTCTGGGTTAAAGAAATGGGCTCATATTCTGTTGGTAGGTTTTATCCCTTCATCTTCTTTCATACTTGATCGTTTCTTTCCAAAGTTTCCTGTTTTCGTAGTGGAATTTTCTGACTTTTAGATCACTAACTCATCAATTATCCTGAGTCTGATGAAGCCACTCCACTTGATTTTTGGATGAGATATTGGCTCAGTCAGATGAGCCCTGGAAGCAACATTATAGATCTAGCTGTGTTGCTCAGTGCACCTAGAATATGAGGGATCTTCAACAAGTTCATGGAAAATGGGTATTATTTTTTACAATTGTACGAATTTGATTTTTTTAAGTACCAGACAAATGTGTTTAAGGCATTTTGGTTGTTGGCACCCTGGATGGCCAAAGAGCAGTAGCTTCTGCTGATTAAGAGAGGACTTTGAGAAATTTGCCAAAACTTTAGCAGAAAAATGCCCTAAACACTTCTCTACCACAACAATGCCCCTGCTCATGGCTCTTAACCAAACAAATACAGTTTTGCAATCGCTGCAATGGGGAATCATTCGGCATCCACCTTATAGTCTTGATTTGGTTCCTCCTGATTTCTTTTTTGCTTTCTAATCTGAAAGCATATTTAAAGGGCACCCATTTGTCTTCAGTTATTAATAAAAACATACATTGGCATGGTTAAGTTCCCAGGATTCTCAGTTCATTAAGGATGGACCAGATGGCTGTCATGTTTTGTCCTTGAGGGAGCTTATGTTAAGAAAGTGTGTGTGTGTGTGTGTGTGTATTCTTTTTTTCCTTTCAATTCCACTTTTCCATGTACTTTTTGAAGACCCCTTCCTGTCTTTGAAATGGGGACAATAAAAATTATCCTTCCTCTCCAGGTCTTGAGAGTCAGAAGTGCATATAAGAAGAGTTGTGAGCAAAACGATTCGTCAGTGGAAGGTATGAGTGGGAGAAAAGATTTCTTCCCATGCTGTGAAATGAGCCGTCATTCCTCTGAAACTTGGGTAAAGCACGTATGAGCCAATAAATGCAGATCTGACAAAACATTGTGCTCCCCTGGGCTCTGTGCTAAACAAGTCCACGTGTTAGTGTTGGGAACCAAGTCTCGGGGAATTGGTTGTGTGTCTCTCTCTTAGCTATGTTACTTTTTTTTTTCCTTTCCGTAAAACTTGTTTAAAATTGGCAGTTCTCAGGTATCACGCCAATGCAGTGTTGTACAAATAGGTTGTGTCCACTAACTTATCACTATTTATGTAAATACTTAGGGTTTGGGGGAGATTTTTTGGGTCCATTTTTTCTTATATTTATTCTGTTTGATTGATTGATTTATTTTTTTTTGCAGTTCAGTCTTTAGACTTGTTAGTAGATTTCTACCCTACAGTTCTGTGGAACGGGCTTTCTTCGGGTACAAGTTGCAGTGCTGTAATTTTGTTTTTGTAGTACCTTCATAACTAGATGTTCCAGCACATAGTTTATATGAAGAGGAAGATATTTCATCAATACGATGAACATTTATTAAGTTTCTGTTATTTGCCCAATGATAGGGAGAGGTGCTGACACAGATTTTAAGAATCTTCACAGTGGCTCAGAATTGGGCTTGTGATGGGTTACCTCTTGGAAGGAAGATCTCATGACTTGTAATTCGCAATTCTGAGACTCAGACCTACTAACAACCTGACTCCAGAGCTGGAGATTCCTGAAATGTTTCAAAAATGGTACTTTTGCTAGTCATACACTGAGGCTGTGGCTCTTGCAATTTTTCAGCTTTTCAAAATGGGATCAAGTTTTTCATTCCTGCCTGAGGCTACTGCCTATCGCAAGACAGAGGCTGAGTGGTGGCATTTCAAATCCTCGGCTCTAGGCCCTACAATAGGCTCGTAGATGGTTTGCTTCTCAAACCTGTCATTGGTCACTCTTCACTTGGCAATGAAGTTGTCAGGTCATTGGAGTTTCCAGCATCTCTGCGCAAGGTGGAGCTTGTGGAAGGCTCGTTCTCTGCCCCAGGGAACTTCTTATCCACACTTTCAGAGCTCTTTTAGCACAGTCTTTTGTCGTAACTCTTAGACAGTTAAAGGATTTAGTATTAATTGGGTGAAGAAGTCTGCCGTAGCATCAGTGGCAGGTCCAGAAATGAAGCCTTCTGGACCTCATTCTCAGGAGTGTGTTTGGGTCGTTCTTGAAAATCTGCATAAGCAGCAAGGTCCCACGTGATCTTTCAGATGCTGGCCTGGAGGCCCCACTTTAGAGAAATGGTGGTAGAGTGATGCTCTTCAATAGAACTATACATTCAGTTAAATATTATTAGAGCATATTCATAATTTCTTAAGATTTTAATGTGTTCACAGTTTAGGTCACCAAATTAAGGATTAAAATAAAATGACAATTACACGGCAGGTATACTTTTTTGAACTTGCTTGGAACTGTATTTTGGATGATAGTCTTTTTACCCCAAAACACACTTGAAGTACAATATTATATGTCTGAATCAGGATTGATTTTCTTTTTTAAAAGTTGCTTTTCCCTAAGATAAAACTCAAAGCCATGTGAATCTCTTAAGGCTTAGAAAACAGTCACCTAATATAGCTGAGACCTCAAGAATATATACAGAATTTGAGTGTTTGATAATATATTTAAAATTTAGTAGTAATCTGCCTTAGAAAATTGGAATACTGTGAAAAACAGTAAGGTATTGGCTTTGTAGAATGTGCTTACCTTTCACCTGACCACCTTAAGTTCAACAATCCAGCCAGCATTGATTGAAGTTAGAGCTTCACTGTGTGACCAGAGAGCCACAGGGCTCATGATAGGTGAAATTATTCCAGTGAGGGATCTAGAAAAGGATTTGCTGATGGCAGTGGAGGAGGGGTGTGATGAGGCACTGCCTTAGGATATGTCAGTCAGGGATGCACGTGTGGCTTTCAGCAGTACTGCCTGTGAATTGGCAGTTTAATGAGAGCTAGTCTTTGACCTGATTAGTGTCATTCTAACAAGTCTTTGAAGAGACATTTTATGGCTTGCCTTGTGCCATAGACATTCCCTTACTGAAGTGCATGTGGTTCCTAGATGT